CTATAAAGCTCTTGAGTGAATTGGCTCACAGGTTTGCTCCTATTGAGGGAGCATTCATTACTGCCGTAACAACGCTACTAGATCCTAGGTTTAAGAAACTGGCCTTTTTCCACACCATCATCATCAGATCACGCAGTCAGCCGAATTACAAATGAGGTAGCCAGCCTACTTACTGTATCCACGACTGCATCAGAGAGCGATGAAGTGTCTCCTAGTCATGATGATGATCTGACTCCAGTTGCTTCTTCTAGCAGTCTTTGGGATTCATTTGATGCTTCGGTATATGACTCTACAAGCCACAGGACGGCCCAGTCTCAGGCCATTATCGAAGTGCGGAGATTCTTTGAAGAGCCTAACATAGATAGGACCCGGGATCCATTTCAATGGTGGAAGGAGAACGAAGCCTGGTTTCCATACTTAAATCAAATTGCCCGTAAATACTTGTGTATTCCGGGTTCATCTGTACCTTCAGAGAGGCTTTTTCAAAGGCTGGACAACTGGTTTCTGAGAGACGTAGCAGGTTGAAACCAGAGAACATCGACAAGATGTTATTCCTAAATCAAAACCTTTAAGTTTAAACGTTGTACTTGTAGGCCAGCATGACTAATAGACCGTGCAATTCAGTTAGTGTCTATGCATGCAACTTATACACTATTATTATAACTATTAATAAGTTAAATGGGCGTGGTTAATAGCATGTACTCGGAATTGTACTTGATACCATCGATACTCAGAAAAAAAGTACTCGGAATCGAACCGAATCAATTTTTTTGGTATCGCCCATCACTATTTGTTAATAATTACTTAATAGTATTAGTTATTAATATCGGATGGGATATTGGTATCGGTCTGTATCAGCAATGAAATATTGGTAAATTTCTGTATTGGTGCAACTCTTATAATAATTATCATAATACCTTTTTTGCGCATGCATTTCTGTGACTTCCTTTACTGAAGCACCTTCTGTTTGAGCAGCCACAACTACATTGCTAGGCTCTACGTTCTCCTCTGGAATTTTAGTAGTTCTGGAGGGTATTCTGCTGTACCCCCTGCTGTGCAACTGTTCTATACCATATCTTAAATCAAATCAATCGAATGGCCTAAAATGTATAGAGCGAGGCAGTATCACCTTAATCATCGGTGTCACAGTCATCTTTAGTACTGATGATGACAGCAGACTCAATACTATCGATGAGTACAGGTGGCTCTGTTGCCGAGGATGGAATCAAGATATTCATAAAAGGACAGTCCTTTCTGTCTGTCCCGCTTACTCTATTTCCATCCTTCATCTACAGTTGCATTTATTATGACTAACCACTCTTACAAGTTGCAATTCATCTTTCTATATACCCGGTTCAGTTTGAGTTGGCAGAGGTACCACCCCTTATAACTTTTTTGTTACTAATGCCAGCAACCTGAAACTTAGTCACTTGTCTCTAAATCTGCTGGTAGTAGTAGCTGACACTACACTTGTGAGTAACTTTGGTGTTTCTTTGATAGCATTACTTTTCCTCTTTGTCCCTTTTGTCAAAGAGCACGTACGATTGGTAAGTGTTGCCACACTTACTGATTAATCATTTCTCATTGTATAAGAACTATAACTTCTTTTCACAGCAATGACAAGAATAAATGTTATCTGGACTTGTTGCAATGAATGGATACAAAGGATTGATCATAAGTCCTCATAAGCTGGTATGAAGTGTGTTTTGTTTTTTCCCTTGTCCCTTACTGCTCTCTAGCAATGTTCTCATTGTCTCTTACCCATTTCAGTGCTAAAAGATCTGGATTCAGCTTTTTCAGTAATGTCTCCATCTTCAGGTAGCTGGACAGTCTAAACAGTAGGTAATGACTTCACATCTTGAGAGAAGGTAATGATTTGTCCACTGTAATCGTGGGAGTTTGTAAATAGACATCACTGGTGGTACAGTGGACACCAACATTTTCTTTGCTTTTGTGAGTCAGTATAAAGAAAATTAATAAGCAAGATTCAGTAGTAATAATTGTAATACCTGTAATTGTGGTGGTACTACTCCTGGGCCTATGTTGTTCCCTCTGGAGTACAGCTTGTGTATGTGCTTACCATTGGCGCACTGACTGCACTCAATATGTTGCAGAGATGATGAGAGAGTAGACAAACAAGTGCTTCACTTGAGAGTCCTGACCAAAGATATGGTCTCATGATATCTGAGCATTGTGTCATTTGGAGAAATTTTGTTGTTGCTCTCTTTTTCTTGTGGATAGAACTTGACATCTGTCACCTTCACAGTGTAGTTCTTGGTCACATGTTTTCTCCCTCTGTCGTCTTAATTGAGACCTAGCTCTTTCACTTGCTGAACACGTTTTTCACTCAGGAGTTATCTTCCTCTGCCTTCTCAATTGTGACCTAGGAAGTTGTTCTACCTCATGCAGTTGTCTGTTAGGATTTGTCTCACGCTGTCTTCTTGATTGAAACTAATTATTCCCGTGGTTTTTTTCTCTGCTGCATTCAATCCTGAGTCTGATGCTGACTGAGCTTGACGAGGCCCATCCTTGGCTCTCTGTTTGGCCCATTGGGCTTCTTTTTGTTTAGTCATTTTGTTTATCCTTGGCTCTTGATCAGGTTCTTTAGGCAGAAAATCGCAGAAAACCTTTGGCTACTCAAATAATGTTATGGTGGTTGTAGCTATATTATTCATATCAGCAGGGCTGCTGAGACAGCAGGAGTGTTCTTGAAATTTCATCTAAATTTTGGTAATTTTTTACCTCAAAGTGGGTGACAGCCATTACTTTAAAGTGTTGGGAAATTTTTACCTCAAATTTTGTAATTTTCACTTTGTTATTTATGCTTTCATACTGAAATTTTTTATGTGGGGAACTCTGAACTGTTGTAATTGGGGCGAGCTCAGGCTTGCCCCACTCTAGCTGTACTCTCAGCCATGCCCCGTCTGTCTGTCTGTTTGTCCTCGTATGTCACCCCTATTTATTAGTCCATTCAAAATAATATGGTATTTAAATTTAAAAAATAGCTACTTTTTTATTGTCTTTTTTTCATCATATACGGTTTATTGTAACACGTGCTGTTAGTAGTAAAAAGCAAGAAAACTCTTAAGAAGGAAACCACTGTCCTAATTCTTAACTCTTAGCATCTATGAGCAGCTTTCAAGGAAGTAGCAGTAGCAAAGAAGAGAAGCGTCTTCTTCACAATGAACATGACAGAGTGATTTTATCAGCAGTAACTTTCATCATGTTGATATGCTTAAATCATGATGCATGCTTTGAAATCATCTGGAGTAGATCATAGATGCATAGATCCAGTTTGTCAGCTTAGGCTCGCCCCTTAATGTTCTACATTTGTCTAGTTATTTTAATTGCTGATATATCAATGGTGTGCCAATGAGTATGAATGGGGGTGGAACCTACATAGTGTAGGGGTGATACCAGTGCCACCCCCTCTCTATGAAACCCTGTTGTTGGTGAAAGCTTTCGCATCTAGTTTTGTGATTTTTATTCTGAATTGAGTGAAATTTTTTTTTGAAGACTTACATGTACATTAATGTGAAATTGTGAAGAATTGTATAATGTTTACCAGCAGGTGAACTGAAGTAAAAGACTTCTCGATTGCTAATTGCGTCCAGCCATTACATAACACATAGCACAGTCATGCACAGTCATAGCACACTCATTTACAGTCCAAGTGCAATGTAATTGCTTGACCAATAATATTGAGCCCTGAGGTTTGAATCTTGTAGTTTTGATGTTTGTGTAAAGCTAATAAATTTAAAAGTCTAATCTGCCTACAAAATTTCCTGCTCATCCTTGAAAGTATGTAGCCTGTGTGTTTGGAAGTATGAAATTACTGACAGTGGATTAAATAAAATTAATGTATTTTTACTCTTAATTTATTTAGGTTTGATTTTGTGAGTATACCATTAGTCCATCCTCGATACAAGCGAGACTTCATTTTTGCTGATGGCAGTCATGTTCGTGATACTATTAGTGAACCTTTGACTCGTAATGATCTAGTTTTACCAAGTGGAGGTACAGTTTTTGAAACTATAATTTATAAGATAGTACTATTGAAATATGATAAAAAGTTGAATGCAACTGTATTTTTTCAGCAACCTTTTTAGCAAGTACTAGATTTCTAAATATGGCTATAAAAACAAGAAGTTAACGTTTAAAGATTTAACTCATTAATTATTAACAGCTAGAGGTGTTGGTGTAGGTTGTCTCATTTGATTTATTGCTACCCACATTTATCATTATGTTGACTTCTGATATTCACCCACAATATTAATGACTGAGAGCAAGAATTGATTGACATAACAAGAAAAAAGTGCTACAGAAAGAGCTGCCTTGCCTATATAATGTAATTTGCCCATCCTCCATTCAAGAAGTTTTATCTACACCACTGTAAATCTTGCAATGCATGTAAAAATGTGCCTTACATGGTAAAAAATGCTATCCCCTCTCTTTTGTTGATGTATATTTTGCTGACATTAGTATATTATATTGAGTGAAGAAAAATTATAATGATATTCATTTAATATACTGAAGCTTTGCATTCTGCTTATGTGTAATGGCCATTGAATGTTCTAATGCTATATAAAAACTTTATGTATTGTTTATGGTCCATTCTTCCAAAGAGCACTTTTCTATGTTGACTCAACGTCGGTAGCGTTGTGTCCTTGGGTGTCTTTACTCTGCAGATACTACTATGCTCATGCATTCTTGACTTCTGCTACAAAGATACAACTGTCATATCAGTTCAGTATGGACCTCAACTCAAGGAGGCACTATTTGAAGTACTCTTGAAGTAGTAAAACCACCATAGTGCAGTCTAATTAACTTTATTTAGCATTAATTCTCAATATCATTTTTATAATTTTATCATTTTTGTACTCTGATTATCTAACTTTTAAAATAATAAACCAGAAATGGACAAAGCTAAATAAAAATTGAAATGCCATAAGGTTTTATTGCCATTCATTGTAGATGAAATGTGAAGTTTGTATTGTAGTTGTAGCACAGCATAAACTCATTTTGTATGATTTAATGAGTCATTAAGTTATTTTATCTTTGTAGAGGTTTATACTTGCATACCTTGTGTTGCTAAACAATTCTGTTAAATTTAACAATTGCATTAATTTTTTACAGAATGGATGAGTTTGGTTGTTGGAAAGATATCTCCCTGGTTGAACGTGGATAGTTATGATGAGAACATTCGTACTAATTCAGAGAAAGTACTATGCAATATTTTTTTTACGCGTTTTAGAATTTTATTTTTTATTATTAGGCACTATTTGAAGAACTGATGTTGTCGATGCACTTGAATATTCCAGTCGTTTTGGTACCTTTGTTAAGTAAAAACTGTGTTAATCTTGCCAGGTGTTTGTTGAGTCATTGTGGATTAATAAAGAGCAATCAAGCAGTTAGTTTTGTTGATGATATTTTAGTACTTAATATCAAGAGTGCATAATATAAGGAGTCTTTAATGCACTTATTTTGTCCTGCTGCATCACGGCGTATTGTTGACATCAGTAGCATCATTATAGTATGATATACAGGAATATACTATTTACACATTAAACACTAAGACCACGTGGCTGAATGATAAGCCTGTGTTGCAGTGTGATGTTATTAAAAACACATGCACTGCTAATTTTATTTTGATGTTTAATGTAAACCTGCTTTGATGTAACTTCCAGGATAGGGTTGTAGGATACTCTCCCTAATATTATGTACTCTTGCTAATATGAATAAAATAATTGAAAGTGTGTGGTATAAAGAACTCAGTCAACTCACTGATATTTCTTAAGTTCTGTGATTTTACATATAATGCTGTATTAAGTGCTTGAGTACCATAGGGCGCCTTTTTTTCGAGGGCGGTAAATTTTGCGTGTTTCGCGATTTTCTTTAAATTTTGTGAAAATTACTTCCTTGAAAATCAAATTAATACAGTACAAGATGGCAGACAGCATAAATTTGTGAAAATTAAATCCGCAAAAGAAAAATCCATGAAACCTATGCCCTCATGAAAAAGACTCCCTATGGTATTTATTTTCAACAGAAAAAAATTGATAATTTACAATGAAAGATGCTAGAGACTTATACATAAAAAGATTGGGTGAAATGTGGCAATTTTAGTACAGGGAGCCTGCATGTATTGAGGAAAATAACGAAACAGTCATGCACTGCAGCACATGCTATAGCTATTGTTAGTGATAGGCAATTATCATCAGTTTAATAAAAAGTATTTTATGTAGTTGAAATGTGATCTGTGCAGTGATTATGATCTGGTGCAGTGTAATTTGCTATGATTGAGATTATTTTATTTCTAGTTTTGGATTCATGTGCCTCTAACAGATCCAAAAAGTACTCTTGAATGTTCAGACTGTGACAGTGAGGACACATGGGACTGGTGGAATAAATTAAGAACATTTTGTGACAATGAGAGACGCTTATCATTAGGTTGGCATTGTTCAAATTACTGTATTTCCTTATATAAAAGCCCAAGCGTCTATATCTGAAAATGTTATTTGAACCTCAAAAAATTAAAAAGATCGAATAAAACTTGTGCCCAGAGTGGGATTAAAACCAGTGACCACTGCTCTGGACTTCAGCTACCTGAGGCTGTATCTACAAGGCATCTGTGCTGTTTTAGGGTTAGATTTGCGTATTTATACTTCATTTCTATTGCTACCTCGGTGTTTATTTGCATCTGGCTTTTATTTAAGGATATACTGTCTGTATTTTGTACCTGACCTATGTTGAACTTTTGATATAAAATTCTATAAACAATATTGATGTGAGGTAGTATCCGCTTGGCATTGGTAGTGTTTGTCATCAGTGTTCATTGCATGCTTTTTTCTTTGTAATAGCAAGGGAATGATCATGTATAAAAATTAAAATTAATGATACTTTATAGCACTTGAAATTGGTTGTGCTGTTCCTTCAAGTATTGTTTTGAAGCGATGGCTTGGAGAACCTGTTAGAGCTCTTGTCATTTCAACTGATCTTTTCATTATGAATAGAAAAGGTAATGAATTCTTAGTTCCTTGTACATATACATTTTTGTTGCAGGATTTCCTGTTTTGAAGCGATGTCATCAAGAGTTGCTGTGCCATTTTTTTAAAGTTAGAATTGCTAGTTACAGATATACATGTATGTGTCATATTTAATTTAGCTTGAGGTACAATTTATTCTTACTGGTGCCAGCCGAACTGAAAATGTAAGTCTTTTTGGTACATTATTGTAGATACAAAAGTCATAGCTCTTGTAGTATGTGCATCTAGTAAACAGGTATTGGTCAAGCTTATTATTTTTAGTAGTTAAGGCTCAGTTTCCAAAGTGTTTCTTGACTGTATGTATTTTTGTACTTTGGTTTTTTCAGACTTCAATGAATTATGCTAAGATATGTCGTTATTATACATGAATTCAGCCCCCACGTGTATAATAATTGTTTGTATGTTGAAACTTACATTTTCTTATCTTTTATATACATGGTATTTGAGAAATAGCAATGATGACTCACTTAGCAAAACTTTGCCCAGTCCCCATTCACCTGAAAGGGGTGTGGCCACTACAAACCAGATGGTGGCATTGATATTAGAGTAATTGAAAGGGATTGGAAACTGCTGTTGGCGGCAGAAAATGCTAGTTAGCTATACCGTATTAATTTAAGCCATTTTGTTGTAATTAATTGTATGTAAGATTGAAAATGGCTGCAGAAATAAAGCAGGTATAGATACATTTCATTAGTTATTGGTTGCCATAATGTCTTATTTTGTACAGGTAGCCCTTTAATTATATTTAAGTAGAAGAATACTCTTTCTACTTGCCCAAGTAGTCTGCTGTGGCAATTGTTATGTTTGCAGTTTGAATTCATTGTTGATCAACATTAGCAATCATGAATCAATGACCATAATTATATATTTTTTGTAATTTATCACTTATATGATAGGAAGTGTGCTAGTGCCCTCGGGTGTGTTCTAAGCATTGGAATAGTGTGATAGTCGATGTCAGAGACACTTAAGTTTTTTTGTTAAAGGTACAAAACAAACCTTTCAAACTTACCAGTAAACTGATCATTACAGAAAGACGAAATCATATTTTAAAATGAAACAAAGTGGCTGCCCTCCACCTAATGATACTCTATTGAATGATTGAATTAGTTATTATCACTTATTAATTGTTTAACACTTTCAAGAAAAAGTTACGAAACAAATGTAGTTGCAACTACTCCCATATAAGAGCAAAAAATCAGTGTATGATAAATGCACCAAAAGGGTTGCTTGGGGGGATAGAAACATCTTTTCACTACTTTATTTCTTATAAATCATGGTGAATAATGACACTACTGACTATTGTTACCCTTTAACAGGTCACTATCTTGCTATAACTTAGCGGCCTTTGCTAAGAAAAAGGATAACCTGCGTCCTTTGCCTAGCAATAAAGTTGATTTAGAAACATTGAAGTTTCTAGTCCCTTTCATTTACTCTAATATCTGTGATGGTGGTTCGGTAGCAAAACAATCTTTTCAGCTTCCTATCAATAAGGATATAATGTCTAAAGACTTTTCAAGAATCAACTCTTGAAAAGTCTTTAGACATGATTTCCTACAAGTGTGGGTCTAGATCTTCTCTCTATCCTGGTAATTATTGGGGTAGAGAGAACCTATATAAGTCTTAGTAAAAGGAAATAAATGCCTACCATTCAAAAACTGAACACTGGTGAATAATGTATACAGCACATTTTAGCTTTTACATCTAATATTGTGTTGAAACAGGTTAACCTGTTAATCCTTTTATTGTTAGAGAAAATGATTATCCTCTTTTAGCTCAGTTGTTTTAGCATATTTTATAAGTCCACCTTCATAAGAAGGGTGGCTTATTCGAGCTGCATGTGATACTAGTAATTATTAAATCATTGGTTATTAATAAGAACACTGATATCTTAAAACAGAAAAACTGGTTGCTTAACCAGTTAGCAACGCTACTTCAGTCTCATTTGGGATAATCATCACTGATAGGATGATGATGTTCACTCCTATTTGCATTCTGCATCAATAGAAGTTATATTTGACACAAAGTTTACCTGATAAAGCCCTACTTTTCCTTGCCTTTCTCATGCTCTTGTTTTAATTCTGTGGTGATGCTTTACAATCAATTGCATTAATGAGCCGATAATTAGTCATGCCTACTATGAATAATTAATTAGTTAATAAAGATTTCTGGCAAGCTTCGTGCACTACCATACTTTCTTACCCATGCAGGATCAGCCCCTATGCATTTATTTATTTTGATTATAGATTTTACGTGTAGCAAGTCTGGCTGTAATAGAAAAAGAAAAATCAAAGCTTATTAGTATGAGAAGACTATGTTTGTTTCTTTGTATGTGCACTTATATCAAGAGTAAATCTACTCTTGCTCCTGTTTATAAAAAATCATCCTTTTTAATTTTCATTAAAACTGGGTGTGATCACTGTGATGGAAATTTTTGAGCTTGCAAGCCACTAAAGTGACCAAGAACAGACAATACTGCTGTCCAAATGCAGCAAGAATGGTTAAGAAAGGAGATATGCCATGTTTTTTTTATTGATGTTATTAACTTTGATCAAGTGGATGAGTCAAAACTGAACTAACGTGGAACATGCAAGAACCTTATAGTTGTAAGATAGTCTGTAGAAAGACAGCCTTAACTTGTGAAGCTGGCAGGACTACTGACATTACCTATAAGTGCAGTGAATGTCTCTATCTTCAATGCTATAAGCAACATAACCTTGGTTGCTGTAGAATGTAGTGCAAATTGACTATATTGAGATATTTACATGTACGTGTGCAATAATAATAATGCTTTGCTTGCTCATCTAGCTGTAGGTCACATGTAATCTTCAGGTTAACATGGCTAGAAGACAAAAGTTGCAAAACTCCCTAATGTTGTATATGCATCTAGTCTTTTGTTATTTTTGTTTTAGGGCTTACAATCTTATTATCAATACTTGGATCATCTGTATATGACACGCAGTGTGCCTGATAAAATGGGTGCTTTTGCAAAAGGATATAACGACTACCTACAGAATCCTCTTCAGGTTTGTGTAATATCTCTTGACTTTAATGTATGTTGTATGGTTATAATCCTTTTGTAATTAGTAAATTAGTTGCCAATTGTTTAGCTTTGTTGATTTTTTTGTATATTGTTCTTTGTTTAGCCTCTGATGGACAATCTTGATTCTCATACTTACGAAGTGTTCGAAAAAGATCCTGTAAAATATGAGAAATACGAAAAAGTAACTTAAGTTACTAAATTAACCGTGTCTTAATTTATGTATCATTAGGCAATTTCTTGTTTTTTGAAGGACCGAGATTCATCTGAGTTACATGAAATGTGCATTTGAGTATATTTGTCACTTTTGTCATTATTTATTTTGTCTAGTGTAATTATGGTTGTTGGTGCTGGACGTGGCCCATTAGTTCAAGCAGCTTTAAAGGCTGCCAGTAAGACTAAGATGCATGTAAAGATCTATGCAGTTGAAAAGAATCCCGGTGCTGTAGTTACGTATGTGTAGTATATGTATGCATTTGTTTTGTGTACACATTTTTGACACTGGCAAGCCTATAGTTTTTGTATTATGCTGTTTGTTTAGATTACGAAATAGACAAAAAGATGAATGGGGAAGTGTTGTGACTGTTATATCTTGTGATATGAGAGATTGGAAGCCTTTAGTAAAGGTAAATAATTTTTGTTTTAGAAAGAGTGGGTTACTGTATAGGGGTTTTATTTTTGTTGGTATAAAATATCAAGGAAGTCAATGTGTTACCGTATAGCAGAAAATTTTTGTGGCACAAACTTTTTGTGGATTTCGCATTTTTTCAAAATCCATGAAAATAAAATCCACGAAAATTGATTCAATATGGTTCAAGATGGCTGAAAAGGAAAAAAACCATGAAAATTAAAGCCACGAAAGTGATTTTTGAACGGATCTGCAAAATTTTTGGGCCATAAATTTTCCGCTATATGGTATACTGTTAATAATTTTAATTTATTTGGTATATTTAAATTAATATTTTTTATAATGCTTTTGCCCATAAAATTGCTTTTTTCTCCCTCAAATGACTTCTTGAACAAAGACTCATGTCAAGATTAATATGAAATTGTACTTTAGTGCAGTTTCACTTAAGACTAATCAGTATAGAATGGACCTTATTCAATAAAATTCTTCTAATTAACGTGCACCTGAATTGGTGGTAAAATGGCGGATTTTTGTAGGAGGGACAGTTTGAACAATCTTCTATTTTATCCAGCCACTCTAGCTTTGAAAACCACTTTGAGCTGTCCTTTTGTTTCAGTATACTCTATTTATCTATTCTGTAAGCTCTTTGGTTGCTGTTTTGGCTTTTATAGCATTTCATCATAGGAATTTTCTCTCCCATGGGCAATTGCTGTTTTTCTAAATTTTGCTTTCAGGAGCCAGGGCGCTTGCCCCTCCATTGCTATGAAAACAGAAGTGTATTCAGCTGAGTCCTATGACTAGTGTCTATCATCAGAGTTAGTCTCAGTCCATCAGGACAAGGTACAGTGGAACAACTCACTCAGTTGTCATGTTGCAGCTTGAGTGTGGATGATTATGGCCATCTTTTCTCTTCTTAAAACTACAGGATTAGTCTTTATTCACATGTATGAATCACTCCAAGAATCATAAGTGCGCTTGAATAGTTGAGCATCATGTAGCTAGCTGTTAATAGTGACGTCTAGTATGAAGTGAAACAACTTCCATTGTCAAATGAATTTTGTACTAATGTGAAAAATTGATGTTAATTGCAATTATTTTTGTTAATCGTCTAGATTGTTTCAACTTATTGTGTATACTGTTTATCATAAATTGTTGTAAATACATGAATAGCCGTGTATACAAATGTAATGAATGTAGTGACAATAACGACAACAATAATAATGCTAACAACAATAATAATGCTAG